CACTTTTTGTGTTGCTTAGGTTTTGGTATTTCTATTTTTTGTTGTATTTGTTGCTATTGTTGTTGTTGCTATTGTTGTTGGTGTTGTTGTTGTTGTTGTTGCTATTGTTGTTGTTGTTGCTATTGTTGTTGTTGTTGCTTCTTGGCAGTCAGCCGCAAATTGCATAGAAACCAAAGCTGAAAGTGGGTTGCACTCTCGCCCAGAATTATCGAGTATTTTGCAATTGTCAGACGTACTATAAGTATTCTCTGCAGCTGTTGTTGTTTTTGTTGTTTTTGTTGCTGTTGTTGTTGTTGTTTGTCTTGTTGTTATTTTTGAATCATGCATTTTTAATTAGTGAAATTGCATAGAGTAGAAGAATGCAGCATCTCGACGTGAATTCTGTGTTCAATGCGCAATATTTTACAGACTCTTGTCTAATTATAATTAACCGATTTATTTATGCCACACCAACCGAAAATGTTTTTACATAATACCTTGCTGCTGCAAATTGAGGGCAAAATATCTTAAAAGTATTTATCACCAAATATTATGAGAGTCGCCTAAATGTCATGTTAGCTTTATTGCTAACGCTCTGTCGAAGTTGGCTCAAATCGAAAGCCAAGCAATAAACCAACATTTAAGGTCTTAAAAGGTTGCTCGTATTAAAATTGTTTAATTTAGTTAAAAGTGCTATCTGGGTAATATTTAGAAGCAAAGAGAAATATAAATTTTTGTGTTACATGTTCAGATATAAATGAACATACAGTAAACACTCGCCTAACAGACACTCTTAGAAGGCGGATAACACTCTTGTGCGCACATTAACTCCCTTTTCTTAGACAAATACTTCTCTCGGGTGGATACAGTTTATCCGTCTGTCGCTGCGAGAGAGTTTTTACTGTAGTACAATGTACAATGTACAAATGTGACTCAGCTATTTAATTGCATATACTTGTATCAAGCCCGAAACCCGGGGGTTCATTAATCAATAATATTTAATTGAAATTAATGCTGAAAGCATAAATAAATGTGCTTCAAACCGAATTATTAATTAATTTAAAAATTAAAATGTGCTTATAGCGACTTTTTTCTTCAACTTACTGAGAGACTTGTGACCTAGCCTAACTCTTATATAAATAAATACATAAGCAAAATTGATCTGGCGACAGTTTTTGACTAACAAATACCCACTATTAGTTAATAATTATACATTATAATACTTCTCTAAAGTGGATACAATTTATGCGTCGGTCGCTGCGAGAGAGTCTTCACTGTAGAACAGCTAACAAATTCATGTGAGTCAGCTATTTAATTGCATGTACTTATGTCAAACCCGAAAAGGGGGTTCAATAATTAATAACATTTGATTGAAATTAATGCTAAAAGCATTTATAAATTTCGACTTTTTTCTTCAACTAACTGAGAGACTTGTGACCTAGCCCAGCTCTTATATAAATAAATATATAACCTCAGCTCCACACATCGCAAAGCTTCACAATCTAGAGATAAAATTGATCTAGGCGACAGTTTTCGACTAGCTATTACCCACTATTTAGTTAATAACTAAATATTATGGCATTGTTGCAAGCAAGTTCCACAACTCTATAATACCCGTTATTCAGCCAGTATATAAATACAGGGTACATGCAGAGATCCCTTCATTTCATGCTCAATTAAACAAGTCAACACGGATGTTGTTTGTGTACATTCAAAGCTCAACGCTCATGTCAATTGAAAATTTACTGTATTTTTGTTGTTATTCTTTTTTATTATTTGCTACTTGATTTGCATTGCGCTCAAAAAAAAAACGTATATTTACATACATAACACAGATGTGTGTGTGTATGTGCGGATTTGTCAACTCTGGCAACGGCAGACAGCAGCGACGCTGGCGCTGGCATCGGCTCATAAATCACGCTAATCTATAACTATCGATCAAAAGACCAATACATAGAAGACGGCGAGGGGTAGGGCGGGCGGGGCGGGGCGGTGCGCAGCAGGCAGCAGTCGGCGCTGTTCAAAGTGTCTTGAGAATTTATTGCCTGAATCCTTGTGCAGAGCGCGAATGAAATAAAAAAAAAAATCGAACACAACGAAAGGTGGCCAAAAATAAATATAAAAATAAAAGTAAATGCAAAACGAGCAACAATTTTTACAATTTACATTTACATAGGCGAAAATGCTTAATTTTAGAAGAGAGGGCGCAATTATTCACGGATGCCTTTGCCGTTGATCGAAACTCTGGCCACACTCCGCAAGCGTTTGGCAAAGAAATTGTTGTTGTTGCTGCTGTTTAACGTCTCTCTGCGTGTCGCTCTTTTTGCATGTGTGTGAGAGTGTGAGTGTGTGTGTGTGTGTTGCTATTTTTATTATAAATTGTCTGCAGATATTTTTGCCCATTTGCCAATTTTCAACTACACATCATGTAATGTGTAGAAGCACTGTCATCCCGCCCTCGCCAGCCGCACCCCCCCCCCTTGCACCACCCTGTGTTGCACACCCTTGTGGTTGCCGTTACGCCGCTCTGTCGCCTTATCTGCTGCGGCTGCAGCTTGTGCTGCTGCGCTGCTGTTGCACCTGTCGCTGCCATTCAGTGCACACATAACTTGGCAACAGCAGCGACAGTCACAATAAATATGCCCGTACATGTATATATATATGTATATATTTAAATCAAAGGCTGGTCACACTTTAAAATCCACATCAGGCACTTGCTACAAATCGGCTTTTAAGTAATGAGCCGCAAGATAAACGACAGCTTTGGCTAAAAAGCTTTTGACGGCTCAGCACGTGCCTTTTAGCCACTCGACACTCGAGACTCGACACCAAGCAACGTACATCTCAGCATTTGGCTGAAGTGGCGCAGCCGTCGCGACGTTGCCAGACAGCTTTTCGAAGCTGATTTGTGTTTAGTTACTGTAGCTAATGTCGTTGAATAATTGTTGTTAACGACTGTTGAGTGTGATTAAATAAATAAGCTGATATTTAGCGTGCGGTTTTAGCGTGTTTTAAGCTTCATAATGGGCATACGTTTTTGAAGTTTAAAAAAGCTTACGATTTTAAGATGACACTCGGTTTTTATACAACTTATATTCGAGTTTGCAAGATGATTTATCTTTTATTAAGTCAGAGCATGTTAAACATATGTTTATTATATATTATTGAATTTGGACTTTTAATTACTTTTAAAAACTCATCATATTCAGTCCTACATTTTTATAAGTCGACGACTTCTTTAGAAAAGTTCTATCTCTAAACAATTAAATGATTATATTTTATATCTATAAAGAACATCCTTTCATCTTCGACTCGTAGAATAAACTTGTTTATTTTTTAATATATTTTATAAATATTTCACACTTCGTTTAACAATTCGTAGTTATTGGTCCTTTAATAAGCTTGAACTCTTGAGCTCTACCTATTTATTTTTTCATATATTTAATAAATATATCACTCGGTTCATCGATTCGTCGTTTATGATCCTTCAACAATATTATACATTATTTGCGTTTCTTTCCGTGGGTTTGGCAATCATTCAGTTTAAATAAATATACGCTTAATTATGCATGATAAATGAGTATTTTGCATTTTGTACATATTTTTGTTGTATTCAATCAGCTGCAGAAACTGGTTGGGTATATATCGTATATAAATACTTCTCTGATATCTGGCGCGTTTCTGTTTTTTATGTTTATGTCATTTATTGATGTGTGCCCTTTTTTATTACTCATATTTGCGGGCTGTAATGATTATTTAATAGCCGATGCTTGCTTCGCATTTTATGACTTTCAATATCATTTTTCGTATTTACATATATTGTGCATTTCATTTCATTTTATTTCATTCTTCTTCGGTTCGTAATAATGCGTGAAGTGTGGCATGTTTAATTTAAATTTGCATAATAAAAAAAAAATTCCCCCATTAATTTATAATATTAATTACTTTTATTTCCAACCTGCTGCCTTTTGTAGGTGTATTTTCATATCCCCCCACCCCGTACATTTTATTGGTTTTGAAAGGTTTCAGAAAATTGCTGTAAATATTTAAAACGGCGTAATTCAATGGAACGCAGTTGGACCTACATTTTTAATACGACTGGGCTGGCTTTCCATTTTCCATTTAAAATGCAGCCGGATCCGCTCGAGACATATATTGTCCCTTTTTTGAGTGGGGGAGGAAAGTTGTCACGTGAACTGATTCGACAAAATCCTGTTGACGCTGTCAGCTCAACATGTCGGCTGACAAAACAGTTAACATATTCTTATAATCATGGCCAGAGATCCTAACTCAAAAAAAGTCACTTTCAAGCAGGAGTCAAGCGTTGAAAAGCCCTTACTTGAGATTTTGAAATGAAGCTCAATATTTACAGATGCTGTTTAATTTCTTAATGCTCTTCTGATAGGCAGCTTTAAGACCTAAGTCAAGCTTTAAGAGTATATCATAGCTTTAAGACTTTAGCTTATTTAGGATTTTCAAATTTAACTCAAAAAGAGACTGTATAATAAACTGAGCTTTGAGGGTAATAAAAAGCTTTTTTTCCAGTAGGCTGCCTTTTGACTTAAGCTATAAAGCTTTAAGATTTAAGCTAAGCTTTTTTACTTCGAAAAGCTTGGATTCAAGTTCTTTTCAAATGTGCTACCCTAATTCGAGCTCTAAGAGTAATGCATGGCTTTAAGACTTGTGCTTTTTTGGATATTAATTAGAGGTCATATAATAACCATTCTAATAGGCTGCCTAATGACTTAAGTGGAGCTTTAACAATAATAGAAAGCTTTAAGACTTCGATAGAAGCTCTTCAACTTTGAAGCGCGTGGATTCGTGTTCTGTTCCTAAAGGCTGCTTTACTACCAAAGTCGAGCTTCAAGAGCAATGGAGAGCTTTAATACTTAACATAAGCTCGTTGAAGTAAAAAGCTTGGCTGAGCTACACATTAAAGCTCTTAAAAGCTCTAACTCATACAATGTGGTACAAAAATTGGATTACCTTATATAACATTAATATGTGCACATCTGACTTACCTTTCCTTGCATAATCAGCCTTATTGTGAGTGTCACCGATGGATCCTCAAGTTTGATGGGCGCACCGCTCGCACTGCTGCTTGTGTTATTGTCCTCCATTTTTTGTTTGTTTGTTTGTTTGTGTTTTCTTTTTATATTATGCTGTCTTTTATATTGATATTATCTTCAAATTGTTGACCGAATGGCGGTCGTTTATATTTTTCTTCTTTCTTTTAACTGTTTGTCTTTTAGCTGCGTTTTATAGCTAATGTTGTAAATATACTTGTTTTATGCTATATAGTACAATATATTGTTCATATATGATCAAAATATAATGCACACAGACATCTATTAGATTTTTGGCTAATTTATTAGTTTTTATTTACGTTTTTTTTTTTTTTGTATTTTGTTTTAGTTTCCTTGCAAATTAAATTGGTGGTGTCTTTTACTAGTCGTACTACGTTTTTTAATATATTTTTTTCTTCTTTTTTTGTTGGCTTAAGCTCGCTGCGTTCTTGAAATCTTCGTCTCTTGTGATTTATGCTTATGTTTTTCTTCTTTTTTGGTTTTTCTTCCGCTTAAAAATGCAACATTTAATGACTGCTATAGATTTTGCATCGAATTATTATGTATTTAGGTATACTTAGTATTATTTTAATGTTGAGCAAAAATACTGTTGCTTAGCGTTTGTATTTAGATTTTGCACTGCAAAGAGACAAGAGAAGAAAAATGCAATTAGTTGAGAAAAGAAAAATGCACGCACTTCGAATACTTTTGTAAACATAAATAATATCGTGAAAAGCAGCTAATTTATTTTGTAAAATGTACGCAATGCATTTAATCAAATTGCTCCTCAGTCAACTCGCGTCGAGTCGAGTCAACTTTCGAGGCATTTTTCTGGCTTCCGGCATTTTGTTGAACGAAAAGATTCCAACAACAACAAAAAAAAAAACAAGAGTCTCAACACGCCTCGTTCATCATAAGGCTAGTCTCGTGTGCGTTGTTGAAATTTTTATATAAAATGTGTTTTTATTTTATTTTATTATACTTTTTTTTTCGCTCGTACACAACTTTGAAACAGCGCCAAGTTTTTATATGCATATTCCGCATACGGGAGACATACGGGAGAGTACACCAATGTATATAGTATCGATGGCCTGCCCCTTACCCCTTGCCCCTTGCCCCTAGCAGCTGCCGTCAACGTTGCAGGCATTTCTTACGCTTGAAATCACTTCATGTGCAATTTAGTACAGATATACAGCATACACGATATACGGAGGACGTTGTTTTAGTTGGTTATTTTCATTTTTTTTTTTTTTATTTATTCGCTTACTTTTTCATGTAAGAGCAATGCAAATTCCCAGCATAGCTTTATATGCGGACTTCGCATATGATTCTGAATGTTTTGCCACTGCCAGCAGAATCAACAGCAGAAGCGAAAATATTTCCCAAGAGGCAACGGGGCGAGGAAGGGCGGAGACAGAGCTCCAAAATATTTGCGCAGGCCAACGCGATGGTTGCCAACAACTTTCCCAGTTCTGCTAGTTGTTGTTGTTTGTTGCTATTGTTGTTGTTGTTGTTGTTGTTGTTGTCGCTGTTGTTTATGAAATTATGCGCACTAATTCCCCATGTAACGGCAACTCAGGCTAGAGATAGAGCATAGACTCTATGTAGCCTGTCTCCAGAACCAGGCGGCGGCGGCCCGGAGCTTGTCGCGAAATCTTATGCGGGTCGGAAAATGTAAAAAGCGTTAACGGCTAAATAAATGCGCATAATTTGGCTACCCGCCTGCACTTTACTTTGACATGATACTCGTACTAAAACAACAACAACAACAACAACAATAACAACAACAAGGCAAGTCAATGATAGCCGGTCGCGCCAGCTGCCACGCCCAATTATTTGCATGAATATTTTCATGTTTGCTTGCAAATATGCAAATCTGTTGTGCTGTCCAGGTGTGACAATAACTAGTGCCACAGCTTGTAGCACACTCCACAACCGTAGCCGTAATCGGAATTAGATCCCAGAAAACAGGAGCCATCCACTCGCTCCCAGCTAAAACACACTTAAATATCTTTAAGTTCACTTAAAAAGGCAACTTTTGGGCTTATTTCAAGTTAGACTACTTTAAATGAATTCTTAAGTATGCTCCCGAACTATTCCTATCAAGTTTTCTATTGCAGATAGATAATTGCTGCTAAATTTGAGCCGGCGACCTCTCCCTTGCTAGTTCGAAGCCAGACAAAAAGAATTTTAAAATTTATTCGCAGCAATCCCAACTCTGGCTATCACATATTTAAATTCTTAAGAAAATAATCTTTGCATATAGATTCATTTTAAAATTGAAGAAAGCACTTTCTGGACATTTGCCCTAACTTTGCCCGTCCTGCTGAGCTAAGGCATTAATATTGCATGACAGACAAGGACCTTACCTGTTATGAACATGAAAAACTGCTTTTGTTGCTTGACTGTACATAATTTATTCTACACCATGTACATAGAACATTCATCTATCACAAAGAAAAACTAGAGAAAACTTTTTGGCAGCATGTCACAAGTTTGTGAATTCATCATAAGGCCAATCACAATCACAATCAACCAAAGCGACAAAGCCCAAATAAAGCAAATTATGAATGCCAAACTAAACCAATTGCATGCATATTTCACATTTGAACTAGCATAACTGCTGAAAATACCATTTCCCCAACCTGGCCTACAAGTATTTTCAATGTTAGCCATAAAAATGTGAATTGCGGCACAGGTATGAAAATTGTGCAATAAAAAGAACGAGCAGTAGATGGGTTTGATTCCAGCTCAGACAGAGCACGCACATCTAAAAGTCAAGCCACGAGACTGTCGACAGTCTCTGGGTGTTGGGAGTGTGAACCGGAGGTTGTCTTGAGGCAGCACACAACACATGACTAGAATACGTTAAAGACGACAGCTTGGAGTTGTCATCCGGCGGTTGCCCCCCGCCGCCCGCCTGCCGCATGCCGCATGCTGTGAGCTGCTGCGGCCAGACACGAACAGAGATCAGGCAACAGGCAACAGGCAACAGGCAGCAGGCAGCAGGCGGTAGGCGGCGGCAAGCAATGAAATAATAAGTTCCGTTACAGGCATTGTAAATTCTTTGCATTGCAGCATGCCACGACACAGAACCAAGATGAAGACATCTGCAGTCGTCGCCGGGCAACCCAATGGCATTGAGTCTACGAGACCGCGACCCAGCCTCTGACGGCTGCATCAGCTGCGGCGGCAGACTCATTATCAATCATACGCACTGTATGCGCGCACTTGGCATCAGCTTTTAATGACTTTTTCTTGAGCGACACAAAAAACGAAAAAAAAGAAGGAGAGAAAAAACTTTAAAAGGCAACGCATAGTCGTAACTAGTTTTCTTTTAATTAACTCGCATATAAATGCCAAGTCGGACTGGCAACCGGTTTGCTTTCTAATTTCTTTTAGCTTTTCCCACATACTAGCACACTCGCACACTCGCACATGCATGTGTGTACGTGTGTGTGTGCCAATTCTCTAATTTCCTGGCAATGAGAAAAACAGCGCCACAAATCATCAAGATATAAAGACAGAGTCTTATATGTTCTCTTTCTTTATTTTGTTTTTCATCAAGATGGCAAACAAAATGAATTGCATATGCGGGCTATTTCTGCTAAAAATGTGCATTCTGTGTAGAAATTTATAAGATTTTCATGGAACGATAATAAAAACAAACTTCAGATGCGGGCCAGAGAAAGTTAATCGCTCATCTTTGGCTGGCAAAAAAAAGAAATGGCTTTAACGAAAAGAGTTTGCAATGCAGAAATATTTTTTAAAAGTTAATAATAAAGAATTTACTTAAATTAATCTATTTTGAACGTTTCATTTTTCTAAACCAAACCATAAATAATTTCATAAGTGTGATAAGCTCGTATTTCGTTCTGTTGACATATTTAATTTTGTGTGTTCGCAAATTGAATTAAATAGTTTTTACTAGAAGTCCAACAGCTGGCATCAAGCATTAGTTTATTTCATTTTCAGCACAATTTTCGGCATAACTTTCGGTTTATGTTATCAAAAACTGTCAGGCCTTAATCAAGTTAGGGGCACACTCAAAAACTGTTGCCTGCTTTGTGGCGCACAGCATTGTGGTATCATAATAATTTTGTTGCCAACATTTGTTGGCATTTGATATTACACCTACATATAGTATTTGCACACATTGTCTTGGCCAAAGAAAAGAAAAGAAAACCAATTGAATTTTTTTTTTTTGACTTGATCTCAGAAGGCAAGCAAAAAGAAATTCATGAAGCGGCACAATAAATGCTAAATGCTGTACGTGACACAGACACACACACACACACTCACACACACACACACACACGGGTCATATGATGGGAGGATGTGAGGTTGGGTGTATGTGTTACAGAGAAACGCTGACATCTCTGGCTTAAAAATGCTGTCATGCGTTGAGAGACTTTTGTTGACGGCAGCGTTGACTTTATACGTCAATTTTCGTCGTTGTCATACATAGACGTGCGGAGTTTTTCCGTTTATGGCAGGCAAAGGAAAAACAAACATCAAGTGCAGACGACTGCCAGTCGAAACGCTGACGGTTCGCTGCTTTCACTCTGCCTAAAATGCCATTTTCTAGTCAGCAGCACAACACTCTCACGTCAAGTTGTCGTCTGCGAGCACCACCATCAACATCACCGCCAGCGCCACCAAAGCCACCACCAAAGGCAGCAGCAGCAGCAGCAAAGTTAAACTCAAATCCAAAGGCAGGTAGGTGTTGGTGTTGTGGAAACAGTTTCATCATCATTATTATTGCTATTATCATTATAGACCCCACACAACACACGGCGCATAATTTTATTTTAATACACTCACAGAAGGTATTTGCATTTTATGCCGAAACGTGTACAAGATTATATATTACTCATAATGGCAACGAACTAATAGATACTATTGCATTATTTATTCTCTTAATTGCGAGTCTATGCTAAGGTTAACTTACCACAGATGCTTCTTTTAGCCGCAGGCTGTGCCTAAGTCATAGCCAGCTAGATCGAATCACTATATCATCTAGCTCTCATACGAATTGCATGAAAAACTTGTACAGTTTTACAGATAACAAACTAGACAAAAGCTGTTAATATTTTATATATTTTAGTTGAAATCTGAATTACATTTTAAAGCTAGAGACAATTGAGCGAAAAGTGACTAGTTTTTATTTGAAAATATTGCCTGAAATGTAAGTAAGCTCACATTACATTACAATGTATCTATTTGGTTAATATGTCTTTATAGAGTATTTAGTCTTTGGCATTTCACAGACAGATTTTCTCTTTTCTTTACAGCAGCACTCATCTCGTGCGGTTTTTGCAATTTTGTCGCCCCACAGAGCTGCTTCTCGTGGCGTTCAACAGAAATCCAATCAGTCAGAGTTTTAAGTTTACTCACTTCACTCAACATGTGTGCGCGAAATGCTCATTAACACATTTTAATTGCCCGAAAAAGGAAAATGAGTTTGCAGTTGTTGCTTACTTTTAAGTTGAAATGACACTTGCTGAAAAGCTTTAGATAAGCTTAAGTTAGAAAACTTTTAGCAAAGTTAAGCAATATTCAAGGAAACATCAAGGAAACCAACTTTAAGAATCGATAGATCAATATTCAAAGAAACATCAAAGAAAAGTACTGGAGAA